TTTTTTGATATTATTTCTACCGTTTTCCATAAAAATTGTCAAAAAAATTTAGTTAGTACACGAGGTGAATCAATTTTTGTGTCCTAATAATTTACTAGTAAATTTCTTTAATGATATCGCCGATCATAAAATCTGTTATTAGTGTAATTGTTATTGCATCTCACATGATTTTGATTAATTAGTATATGAAATACCCCAATTAACAAGTTTCATTTTTGTGCAAATCCAAATCATATGATAACGAAATTAGAAAAACCCGTGATATAATATACCATATAAGGTGCACAATATACACTCTGTTACGTCCTGTATTCCTATGATACCAAATTGTTCTTTTTCTAATCTGCGGCTTTTATGCGCCCAGAACATCCCGTCATTAACCTCACGCCATAATTTCACATAATCGTCCTCTTCTTTTTGGTCAGTACAAACAATTCGGAAACATTCCAAATACATTAATTCATAAAATTTATCATTGTCTTTGGTTACGAACATAATGTTAGGTTTCCTTCCCATTCTTCCATCACCTCTTCTGTCCGCACTTGCGATACTTTGTCATTCGAAACTAAAAAAAAATGAAAATATATTAAAGATTATTAACAATATTGAATAATTTATTGACTAATTTATTGACTTACATGGTGATAAATGCTGATTCTCCAAAAGGATTATTATACAAAGCTGCATTAATTAACGGAACAACATTATTTACGTAGGTTCCTTCATTTAATGACTCAACGAATTCAGGGTGAAAGGCTGGATTGCACCAAATATTTTTAAATGTCTCCAAAATTTTTTTTGTAACTTCTATAAGTTTAACTTCACTTTCTTTCCAGTCTCCGCTATGAGACAATCCATATGGTAATCTCGATACATTCCATGATGGAAAATTAGATATAAAGTTATTACATTCTACCTGTATAGCAAAAGGCATTGATTCTGGTACCATTTTGTCTAGAGGTTCCTTTAAGAGTATAAATTTAATATTTATAATAATAGATCGGTTAAATATAAAATGCAGGTTTATACGTACCAGAAATTTTGTTCTTTGCTTATTTTTCAATTTTTTAACTAAAACCGAATCATCACTTATAACCTGACTGGCTAACGGATGTCACCAAGTTAGTTCCGAAAGTTCAGAAACAGATAGATCATTCAAATTAGTTATAAATGTGTCTAGTTCGATATTTCATTTGATTCTATTATAAACTTGCTTGATGTTGGAGTAATAAAAACGGTATGTTTTTATGATGGTTGGATGGTTGGTTAA